TGGTACTGAAACATGAGAATTTGACTAACTCCCTGCAAGTGGTTGGACACCAAGCTGTGTCATTGCGATGGCTCTCTTATAGGCTTCTAAGATGTATTCTGAGTGGTGACATGCTGGAGAAACATACTGTTCTCACTCTGATCTTTTTTTACACGAGCCAGGAGAAAGAATGTTTTCTTGAATACATTTTGAATTGCGGCAGCAGTCCTGCTTTATTGCATGTTGGCCAGTCTTTGTGACAGAGAGATAGTGTCAGACATTTATTGGAGGGTAACTTCTTTTAGAAAGCATGAGCATTTTTTAAACTTTGCTGCATTAAACATTTCTGTAGCCCTGAATACTTGAATCATTTGCAGGTCTGAAGCAATCTGAACAACTGGGACCCTTAAAATGACCCTCTACTACAATCACAGTTAATTTCGATGTTGTCATCACCTTCTGCCCAAGGATAATACACAGACCTTTGTTTCTGGACAATGTTCAACCCTTTTCTTATCTTGTCTTAACCTAGCCAAATACAAAACAATTAACTTCCTTGCTCACTCTGGAGCACATGGCTAATCCTACAAGCAGAAGATGTGGTTCCCTTGAGCTGCCCTTTTGTGTATGTGCTGTAGGCAATGCTGGGCAACAGTATAATTGAATTATTGAAGGCCAATTGAACTACGCTTCACCATCTCTGTGGACTGTGAGTACAGACAGAAGGTGGGAATGATAGGCAGCTTCCAAGCCACCTGTCCTCTTCAAGCAATATTGTTCAGACAAGCACTTAAAAGGTTGGGAAGAGGACTACAAGTAACCAATTTCAGTGAGCACTAGAAAGCACAAGAAAATGCCAAATGGATCAGAGCACCCTCTGGCAGGAAGGAGAAGTTGTCTCCTGGAGTGAGAAGATCACGAGGGACACGTGGGAGTACAGAGCAGAAGCAGGACTCAGAATATGCTGGATTTTTTTAACAGCTTGCAGCACAGAGAAGAATTGGCAATGAACCGAAGTTGGGCTGGGTCCTTCCGCAGCTGGCTAGCATAGCTCTCATGGTGTGCTGCAGGGAAGAAGGGTCATGTAACAGTCCCAGTAAGTAGATTTCCTTCTGCTAAGCAGTGGCTGCTGAAGGCCATTTGGCATCACTGCTAGCAGATGGAGCTAACGGCAGTGGGGGGCTGTGAGTGTTGGGGGTCAGGCCTGGAAGGAGGAGACCAACGTGGTGCCAGCGACTGCCTCTGACAGAAACGCTGCCTGGCGCTGAAGTGCTAAGGCTTGGACAACCAGCCCAAGCCAGAGTTGACCTATAGATGAGTCCTATGTATTTTATAACTGAAAGCCATTGTGCTAGTAGATACTGTACTAAGTTATAACAATGCACTTATGCTGATGTAAAAGTGCTAAAGCATTGAAGTACTGAAGCCTGAACAACAGGCCCCAAGCCGAAGCTGCTTAGTGTGTAATCATTAACAACGTCCGTAAACTCGCTAGTGAAAGATGCAGCTTAGACAAAATATAATCAGGAGTGAGGAGAGAATGTATCCAACTTCCCGTGTCTGGCCTTGTTCAGGGCTGAGAACCCAAGGATCTGGCCTTGTTAGAAACTCCCTTGGTCTCCCCCCTGAGCCCTGGCCAGGCTTTGGGTGGAATCCAACAGGAGAATGAAACTGGAAATTTTCAGCTCAAAACAAAGGTGCCAGCTATTCTGGCTTGTCCATCTCTGGTATATAAGGCTGGACCCGCTCACAGCGACGTTGGCAGCCTCACCTATGGGTGGACGCACTCATAGGATTTCCCCCTTGCCGGGACAGGCTCTGCAAACCCTCGCTGTGACCGGGGCTGCCCAGCCACTGCGGGGCTGGGTGATGGTAACACACGCAAGTGGTGATGTATTTTTCTTCATCACTATTCTCTCTCTTGTGTAGTAATAATTTGATGCATTACCCTGTGTTTTCCTCTTTGCTGCTTTAAGTGCACTATTCTGCTTTTTCTTACTGCATGTTTTCTGTATTACACTGTTACATTGGTTATCACTAGTAAAATACATCTGCTCTTTTCACTCTGGTGTCTGAGTTTAATTGGTATCCTTAATCAGCAGAACAGGCGTCAATGTCCTGCCAGCGAACCCTCCTTCCAAAAAGCTCACTCAGAGCCTAGGCAGGAAAGCAAATTCTCCTCTGGATGAGGTTTTGCAGAGAAAGCTGCACACTTGACTTGCAACAGCCAAAGTGTCTTCTCAAAATCCACTGCAAGACAAATGTACTGGTGTGCATTGGAGCCCAGGGACCCTCGTGGTGTAATCTCTGTTGTGATCACCCCCCACCTTTTACTGTCTTCTTGGTTTAATTCAATTTGCAGCTGTATCTGTGCCTCCAGAGCTGGTAGCAAGGGCAGTGAGCTGGAATCAGTGGGGGGTATCTCCAGAGCAGGTGGGGCTCCATACACGTCCACAGCAGCACTTCTGCCTGTGATGAGAACTGAAGACTATAATTGCTGCAAGGCAGGGACTAGGTCTTCCATCTGCAAAGTATGTAGTATGCCACAGAAATAAAAATAGAAAGGAGCAGATTGTACTTTGTCATTTCTCTAACTCTGCCTTTATATTTCTCTGGACTTCTAGAGTTGATTATAAATCAGGGGTGTGATGTGAAGGCCTGATGTTTTCCGATCTTTCTCATCAGTCTTTTTGAATGGAAATTAATAACTACACAGGAAACTGCTCTGAAGTAATTAGTGTTCACCTTCTCATTCTTCCTTCCTTTTTCTTCTGAGGATATTCAGGTTAAAGCCATTGATGGGAAATCATAAGCAAAAGAAGACGCGCAGTTCATTTCTCCTCACAGAGATGAGAGCTGTTATAAGCAGCTACTGCATCTAGCAGCTCCAGGGCCTGGGGTTCCGCCTGCCTGGCTGCTGGAGCCCAGCCCAGCTTGTTGTGCCCACCCCAGGCCGATGGATGTGGCTGCTGCTTTCCGGTTTGCTGGCACAGGACACCCATGGGAACAGCTATGCAGATGGCCACAGACAAAGTATTGCCTTCAGCTGTACCTCCTACATGTAGGATTTGCAGAAGACCTAAGTACAGACCAGCCGGTCCAACTTGATGCTTGCAAGAGAACAACACACCCCCCAGTTTGGGGCACGTACAGACTCTTCCCCCACCTTGCAGCCAGCCTCAGACACACAAGCTGTGACCCAGGGCCCTGCTCCAGCTGCTGGCTCTGAGCCCCTTGCTCGCTTCACTCACAGCGATCCCCCCAGTAGCTGGCACTTACTCCTTTCAGCCCCCCCACCCTGTATGGAGAGTGAGACAACACAGAGAGACAGTTAAGAAAGGTTTTATAAGAAGAGAAAGTGATCAGGTACAGGGCTCAGTCACACAAGTGTACTTTACACAGGTGTTCTCCTTTACACAAGTGTACCCCTTTTTGTCTGATCCTCCACTTTGTTCCTTCCCAATTGCCTTCCTCTAGTCATTCCTCACCAGGTTTTGCAGAGTCCCCCTCAAATATCCAAATCCTCATGTTCTTCTTGTTTACCCCTTCTTATCAGTTACAAAGTCCTGGTGACCCTCTCCAAAGCTGCGCTTGAAGCTCTTCAATGGCCCATCAATCAGTAACTGGAGACTTTTGGTCTCTGGCATTGTCTCCGTTGTCCCTCATCCACCAGGTTTGCCTCTCTCTGTCCTTGTTTATCGCATCTCCCTTTACTTATTATCCCCTTTGTTTTGAAAAGGTGGGTCCTTGTTTCAGATAGCTTTCATGAAGCAGATGCTCTTACCTTCCATATACACTTTTAAGTAATACATACAAGGGTTTAGTCTCTAACTTGCTTACTTTATGGTATTAAAGGACAAGGTTTCTCAAGGTTACCAGTGAGATAGTTGAGACAACATTGTTTGGGATTTTCCTCTTGTCTCTCAAATATTTGTTTTGTCAATATGGATGTTTCATTTTACTAGACTTTTAGTGTCATTTTTGAATATGAATCTTGAAAGTACAATATTTGGCTTGTGTATATAATCCAGTCAAAATTATAAATTCCATGCCAAGTGGCTTTTCTCTTTATGCGCACCCGTCCCTCTGCCCAGTTTTATAAGTACAAGCTAAGAACAGAGTTTATGTAAAGTTCCTACTTCAAGTATTTTTAATTTAATTTACTATAGTGGCTTCACAAGTAGGGATAAGGCATAGTTAGAAATATTCCTCCTTGCCAAGTTAGCTTTTATCTTGGAGTTCCTGTTCTGTGTAGATGTATGTATGGAATAAAGAAGAGCCCCAAAGCAACCATATAGGGAAACATCTGAGTACTTTTCAGTGTTATATTTTGATGATAAATTGTGGGATTTGGTAGGAAGCCAAGATAGGTGGCAGTAAATAAATAATTCTTAGGGTCAGGCTAGGCATACAGACCTCCTGGTAGAGTTTTCTTTATTATTTCCTCTAGAGAATTATACAAATCTGAAATAACAAAATACGAAAAAGTCCGCTGCTTGGTAGGAAGATTAGCTTCTGCCTGCATCAGTGCTTGAATATGCAGCACCGGGTCCTTCCTCCTAATGCCGCTTCTTCCCCCACCATGGGGGCATTAACTACAGGTAGTGACAGTGAGGTTAATGTTAACTTGTGAACGTTACAGGAGGCAGCTCCAGCCTCCGTAGTAGCAGCAGCTTTGGGGGTGGATTAGGGGGGCACTGTGAAGGAAACTAAGTGCTCATGCTTCCGAATTCGGGGCAGATCCAAGGCGTTCCATGATCTTCCCCCGGTACTGTCGTTCTTTGTAGTGAAACGGGAATGGGAGTTCTCCTGGTCTGCCGGGGCCAGGCGGGCGACTCACCCAGCGCCCTCGCCCTGCCGGTTTAAAATCCCCCCGCGCCCGCGCTCCGCTTTGCCGGCGGCTGGGCCGGTGTCAGCCCGCGCCTGTGCGGGCACGGCGCGGGGTGGAGGCAGCACCGCGGCCTG